ACAACGAACCCCAGGAGGACGCAGATGCTCCTAACAGCCTGAGCCAGCTACTGGCCAGACTCATCTCCAGGAAAGGTGAGTGGTTGCATGTACAGCATGAGACTGATAGGAAGTGTAATTGGAGCGAAAGTCTTTCCCTTTGGTCATCTCACCTCATTACACACACAGCATTCCTCTCGTCTTATCTCGCTCCTGGTCTTGTTATTTCCATCTTCCCAACATCCATCCATCTGGAAAATCAGCCGTCACTCATGCTGAGTCTCAGTCCCACCATCTGGCATTTTCCTGCCTCCCTCTAGCTCTATCTCTCTCCTCCCTCCATCTTTCCATACCTCCTCCTTGTTGCCTCCCCCTCCACCGCCTCTCTGCTCCCTCTGTCACTGTGTGTCTCTGTTCCTCTCTCAAGTCAACACTGTGTGACTGGGTGACCTGCTGAGCTCACTGGTCTCATTGAAACACACAAAGACGGCAGTGGAAACAAAACAAGTCAGCATGTGTTACTTCAACAGCCTCATTCAGAGTTATACATTTTCATTATACTATACAGTCAGGAAAAAGTGCACTGCCGAGCAGAATGACATCTTCCTATCCTCATCACATCATCAGTGTCATGAAGAGTGACGAGTGTGCTTCTCTGTCCCCTCCAGGCTCTCCCTACCACACCAGATCCTCCCTCAGCAGCAGAGCCAGCGGTTCAGCCCCTGGCCACAGGATAAAGGACAGAGACTACATGGGCTGGATGGACTTTGGACGACGCAGTGCAGAGGAGTACGAATACTCCTCCTAAAGGCAATGGCTTGCTTTCACTGAAACCTGAGTTACAACCCTCATCACCGCCAATAAACGTCTACAAAAAATAATTAGCCCTTTTCACACTGCACTTACTGTAACCAAGGGCTGACTTGACTGGATCCCAGAGTGAGTTTAGCATCATTATATATAAGCAGAGAGGAGGAAAATATCCCCAACAGGGCAAATCCTGCAATCTATGGACCCTGAATCTCCATGCTGAAGTTAAGAGCACTTTTCAAACCACTCCCACTGTATGTCATAACTGTATTTAAACACAAATGCTGAGGATATGGCTGAAAATACTCTATATTGTTATAAGTGTCAGGAAATCCTATGAAAAAAATAAAGATCAACAGTGCGTTAGTCTATCTCGATACTTTCTGACTTCTCTACCCTGTGTGTGACTCCCAGCCTCAAGCCCCTTTTGTTCCTACAGTACTGAAGACATCAATTATTAACAACACCTCACACATTTCTGGTTTCATTTTTAGAAAGACCACTAGCAGCTATATTTAAAAAAAACATCACTCGAACAGTGTAATGGTGTGACTCATAAACGGGCTTTGTTGTTTTTGGACAACACTGGAGCTCTATGACACAGAGGGTAATTGAGGCTTTGACTACTATTTATTAGACCTTTTAATTTATTGTTGACATTTTTTCATGGGATTTGTTGATAATATGAAAAATATAGAATATCACCAGACCCACAGTATCCTTTAGGTCCAACAGGAGACAAACACAAGGTTATATTCACTGGTGTTAACAGCATAGCAGACATTTGCTCATTGGTTTTGTGCAACATTAAGTAATGTGTTTTTTGTTATGTTTTTAAGTGGATATAATATTAATTGGCTTTGAACAATTGGAAACGAAAAAGTATATACATTTCTGCCCTATTCTCAGTGTTTTAAGACTCAAAATTATGTTGCTTGAAGTATTGTTTAAGTGTCTAATTTTACTGACAATTCAGAATGTATTAAAGGCCTTATATTGGACTTTAATGAGCCATGTAGGTGTCGTTGGCAAATTGGACCAAAAGTGGATCTTTGATTGCATTCAGCTAACTGCAGCCCAGAGCTTCAATTCACTTCAACTTAACAAAAGTACACCATAAAAAAGTCTTTTCATTTCAAACCATCTGCAACAAAAACAGCACGATGCAACATTACATTAACGTACCAGTATGGAGTCAGTAAGGGTCTAAAACAGCAACAACTTTCACCCCAACCCTGCCTGCTGAAGGGAACCCTGGGCTAAAACTGTGCAGTGTGAAAAGCACAAGATATGTCTCAGAAAGCACAAGGTGTTGTCTACTGTTTATGAGATGCTTGGGAGTCTCTCTATCATTACATAATGGACCTCCGTGTCAGGAATCGGGATTACAAGTACTGTAGATATGAATAGAAGAGTGTTTTTGTTCTTTTTTTGGGAAGATTATGTATGTATGCACTCTTAAAGGTTAAGTCTCTGTGATAAATATTATGTTTCTACCAACTTTCAGTTTCAATGATATTCAAAATAAAGCTCCATTTTCCTCTTACATCAGCAAGAAATGCAAATGCTTTCTTTTTTAGTATTACAGAGTTATTATGTTTCGAAGGCACAGTTGGTGAGCTCATCCCAAGCATTTCACGTAGTCTCTGCCTACCGTGTCTGTCTATGGGTGTCCTTCTACATGAACATTTGGCGTAATTCACCAGGGCTACATGAAAGCCAGGATATTGTGAGTAGTGTCTAGTGTTTACATAAATCAGGCTTTTCTAAAACTTGGAATAATGAGCCAGTGTCCTGCGTTAGAGGTGGCTCTGAAACACATCTTAAATTTTAATTGGTTATGTAAGTTATAAAAGATTAATGTCAGCCATCTTGGGTGGTTAATTGTTGATTGAACAGAAGCTGCTGTAAAGAATGAGATATCAGTCCTCCTGGGAACTGAAACTATAAGCTTTACCACACTGCAGAAAGTGAGGGGCTTTCCACAGATCCTACAGTGGACTTAAACTCTAATACCAGATCTTAACATGTCTCCAGCTGAATTAAATCAAATGCTAATGAGGAAAGAGCAAAAGGTGAACACCAAGTGAAAGTGAATGATTCTCTGCCACACAGCTGAACATAAACCTGAATGCACCCCATTTGTGGTGAAAATGTACTAAAATCAAGCTTTTAGTTCGCAAACACAACAACAGAAAATAGATGATCCTGTATCTGATGTAAATGTGTTTGTAAAACAGATATGAAGCGATACAAGAGTACTTGTTTATAATTTCTGATGAAAAATTGAGTTTTATTTGTTCAAAGTGAAGCAAAGACATCTTAATTTAACAATTAGGATGCTCTGGAAATGCATCTGAAATGCCTTCACACACACACATTCTGCTGCATACTGTCCACACATGCATGCAGACAGGAGATGATCTGCTCTCCATTACACAAACTGAGACACACTATTGTAATTGCTATACAAATATTCTTACACAAAAAAAAGAGTACAGAATCCAGTGGTGGCAGAACTATTCAGATACTTTGCTGAAGTACAAGTACTAATACCACATTGTGAGAGTACTCCTGTTGAGGCTATATCCTATTTTATATCAAATTTTCCCCTGGCTGTCTCCATATTCTGAATTCATCACACAAATGTCTGACTAACTTTAACTCATACCACCTAAAAGGAGGCAAACATTGTCTGATGTTACATAACATTAGCAGATAAGCATAAACAGCATTACTTACTATTTTGGAGTAGAGTTCACAGACTGAATGTTTAGCTGATATATCTGCTACATTTGAATCCATCCCATAATAATCTGAACTGCTCTCAGTGCAAATCAAGAGCCCCCAACAATGCCACGTAAATGTGGTCTTCAATACTCTAAGGTAAATATTAGACCAACAGAAGAACATTTACTCACTTTGATTAGATTTCTTTAGGAAATAGCAGAGTGGGATAAACAACATTATATTATTATGTAAATAACACGCAGCTGATGGTATTTTATAAACCTTTAAGACTTGGGGCCTTTGGGAAAACATTCAGAGGTAGAGCGCCAGAGGCCATATGTTTGCACTGCAATGCCCTGTGAGAATCACGCATCTCTAAAGTGTCAACTTTTCATGGTGTCAGAAAAGCAGCCCTGGTGTCAGCTTTGTGATGATGCATTTTCCAGCTGATCCAAGAACAATTCATTTAGCTTCATAAGTAGAATGTTGTCAACACAAAGGAACATCATTCAACAACAACAGACCTATGTACATGTACGGTATGATCTATGTAGGCTACAGTACTTGAGCAAATATACTTACAGAATGACACTTTTTTAATCTTTAATTTCTTCACCTGAACCTTTAAGTTACATAAGGTGTATTAATTTACTACATGCATTTCCACACACTATCTATCTATATATATATGTGTACATTAGGAAGCAAGACACAGCAGACAAGCCAAGGTCAGTGGTTTGTCCCACTCACAGACACAAATCACCATGTACATCTCAAGAATACACCTGTTCATATGTAATTATCCTGCTGCCTGAGACAAACAATAGCAGTGTTTACCATCTGTCTGCACATGAAGCTCTTATACAAGAGCTCAAGTGGATCATATTTACTCTGCTGCTGTTATAAAGACACAAAGAGAGGACAGTTGCAATTTCCCAATATATCACACTCACTCTTCTCGTCCAACATGGGTCAGTCAGTCCACGCGGACACAAAGACCGAAAGACTCAATATGAGATCATGTGAACATGACACACAGCCACTCATAAAATAAAATCCCAAAACACGACTGTAACGCTTTGTTATGCTGGAACATTTACATTAATGATGAATATGATGGAAGAGCAGGCAACAACTCAAGGAATAAAATAAAGAGCGGTGAGGGAAATATGCTGCAATTAGACTGGGAGCATTATTTGACTCATTAGTGCACCTTTGTGTTTAAGTTACTTCTCATCTATTCTGTTGTTGCATTAAGGCAAACTGCACCTGAGGTACACACTGGAACACTGTGACATGAAATGAAATGATCTTGGACAACATCAAGAGGTTGAATCACCTAAGGGGGAAAAAAAAAAGATATTTTCTGGTATCCTTGTTGCATGATCACAGTACATTGCTCTTTACTGCCCCCGTATGGACAAACGTAAAAAGTACATTCATGTTGAACATTCAATTTTGCAAACCAAAGAAATCACCAGTTATATTTTTGATGGATGTTTATTTCTTCATTTTAAATACACTGATTGCCGTCATCCACTCTCTCCTCTGATCCAGTAACATGAAAAATGACATGCACACATTCACACATGGAGCCACGTGTCACACACACTGGGACATTAACAGCATTCAACATGTTAAAAAACAGATAGATGACATGAAAAAATTATATCAATGGTATAAAGTTCAAACAGCTTTTAAAACTCAGAACATTATTTATATTTACCATTCACCCTAAACCAAGCCATAGTGTTAGAAAGTGCTGGAAGCCACGAGCCCGTTTGTTGAAGGTCTAATACAATATAATTGACTGATAATTTTACAGTATGAATGTTGGCTTTTTTCTACACATTAGGGAAAACATTTTCTTTCCTGTTACATAATTAAAAACTAAGCTGAAACCAGCTTTTGTCAATTACCTAAGGGCAAAAAAAAGTCTCATCTGTTGTGAAGAAAATTAAAATTAAGATAAAAGTATAAACAGGTTCAGCTCCTCATTTGCAATTCAGTTCTTAAAAATTAGGGATTACATGACAGAGCATGAAAGTGCAACAGAAATATTTAAGGTAGACAAACATATAATCATGTATTCTACAACAAACAATATTGCTTTCACCTGACTCTCTATGTGATGCTTTCTGTCACCAAATGGATTAAAATAAAGACATATAATGGATTATTTTCGCACTCCTTCTTGTTGGCATTTGAGTGAATTAATTTGGAGACATAAATGTTTCAGTAACATAAAGACATCCTTACACAATACAGCACTCACACGTATATTTACACGATAGTAAGAGACCTGCAAACCAATAGCTGTAGCCTAAAACTGTACAAACATTTGATGGAATAATGACATAGAAACAACATTAAGTGCATTCAAAGAGAAAATCATTTACAGCATCTCTATGGTGCTATTATATGTTATAATATATTTTATCAGTGAACATTTGGCACTAACTGGCTACACTGGTCTGTTCTGCCTAACAACATTGGTTAAGTAATAGTTTGATTGACAGGAACTGGCTGGTTCAGACTTCGGACTGTAGGTTTAACCTGGCTAACAACGTAATATTCACCTCTCACAGATATATGTTAAATGGCGATGCAACTGACTAAGACGATAAGAATCACCACATCCGTTGGCAGATGCGTTTATCATGGCTGCCACAGAATGCCTGGCACCGTTCTTGTGGTAATTAGTGCTCATACAGAACGTGGCTGAACGCTCTTGTGACCGGTAATGTGAAAATAAATCATAAAATGTGTGCAGAATAAAGAAAGAGCAGTCAAAGCAGCCGTCTCAGGTGGACCAAAGGAATTCTTGTCATGCCAGCAAGTGCGGCCATTAAGTTGTAGCGGTGGCAATGATTTGTAAATAGCGAAGTGAGCCTGGCACCAATACATCCATGTGGTTCAAAATCGTGGCTAAACCATCTTTACTCTGTTCTAAACGAGCCAGTTCATGTTAGCTACTGCACCACTCCAAAAGCAGGACTGTTAGTATGCACGAGTCCTGCTGATAGAGATTGGTTATAAAGTTAAAAGTAAAAGTAGTTACTGACTGGTTATTGCTGGCTAGATGACCGGGACTACTTGACTTAATTGACGTGATGAGACCGTAACCATCCTGTTTTCTTTCAGGTACATCCTTCACACAAAACTAACTCAGCTGTCCAGCATTTTTAGCAGTTTATATATCATATCACATTAACTTACTGACGGTGTCGTGTATTTGGTGGGGATAAAGCTCAGATTGTAAAAAAAATCCAAACATGTTAATCAGAGGGAGTGTGTTTTTGACACTAATACCAAGCCCGCTTCATTGGAACTATCTCTAAAAGAGATTGTCTCAAACTAAAACTAACATCCACAACACTATCATGAAATGCTGGTACAACTTCACACACACACACACACACACACACACACACACACACACACACACTTCAGCTACCAGTCATGTGGAACTGTCCTCATGTACTTTAAATGCACATTACTGTTCTTTTCACATAACATTTGAAGAAACTATATCAATTTTAAAAAACTTTTTACTTAAGTTCAAATGTGTTTTATCATTTGCATTAGAAACGTCTCGGTACATGGTGTATTTCATTGATAGAACACAGTATATCTCTGGTACTGTCACTCTGACAGAATGCTAAACACTGCAGACGACGTCTCTGTAAAGAGCAACACAGTCTTTGGTCACTAAAATAAAGTTAAGAATTATCACCTCCTTTCAAGTACCATAGTTAAGCGTCAAACGAAGCTGCTAACGGCTAAATATATGTGCATTTGTGCGTATGGATAAGTACTATCAGTGTTGATTTTGTATGGTTTCGTGACATTGGTAAATCTTAAAGTTTGGCTTCTGGCTCTTCCTGCTTTGGTCCCTGTTTTGGTTTTAATGAAGGGTGCATTTGCATTACTTGAACACTTATAATGACTGCACATTTAAATGCCAGGCTCTAAATGTTTCTGTAAACTGCAATCCAAATCATAAATATTACTTTTCTTGTCTTCTATGTAGCGGCAACCTACCACTTGTGACTAAAGGAAACACTGAGATTTGTATGTAGGTCGTTGTCTTTGTGTATGTGTGTGTGTGTGCGTGTGTGTGTGTGTGTGTGTGTGTGTGTGTGTGTGTGCGTGTTGTGTGTCAGTGGAAATGTCCCATGGCCTCAGCAGCCTTCACTCTCACCACAGGATCTGGATCTTGGAGCAGCATCACTAAACCTGAGGACAGAATACACACCAAATACACAGTCAATGCCAGGAGAATGAGTTTACATGTTTGAAGGAAGAGATAATTGTGCAGTGAATCACCTTTAGTGATGGTGCCCATGTTGAGGTGGGAGAAATGCTCCTCTGGAAGATTCCCGAGCAGAAACCCTGATAGCACACACACACACCTCATCATCAGGTCACATCATGTACAGTAGGAACACACTGACTACATGTACATGCACACCAATTTTCCACTATCACTCCAAATATGGCAACATTTATGGAGTTTCCTCATGCAGCATTTTCAGATTAAGATGTGAGATATGTTGGTATTATTTGGGTTTTAATACATTTTTTTGGAAATGTATACAGTGCATTTGGAATACGCATCGAATGTGGGGATTTTACCACAGTTTGCAAAACACTCCCTCTTGCCCATAAACTGTCAGCTCTGTGCGTTGTCATGGATACATTGTGCACAAACCATCTAGCCAACAGTTTGTAAGGTTTGGGCAGAGATGCATGTCCAAAAGAAAAGCCCATACTTCTGGTTGAAAGGAAAAACACACCTACTTTTAAACATTATGAAAGACTTGGATATCAACGGGTTTTTCATGATGTACAAATATCGCAACACGATCTTTGAAAAAATCCTGGCACAAGCAACAGCTGTTCTACTTTTCCATATTTGACATGATAAAGGACATATTAGGGCATGTTAATCCTGGATGCACGGCTGCACGTTAACAGGAATATTAGTGGAATCTTCATTTTCGTAAGTAGGAATATCCCCTTTTTCAGAATGAGTATTTTGTGCATGTTAACATGGTCAGTTTCTGATCCATACATAAACTTAAGTTCAAGAAGTTAGTTATGGCATGGAGCGAGGTGACAGAATGGTGTTCTCTTACCTATAAACATGGCAGCTCCTGCTCTGACCTCAGGCCAGTTGCTCTTGAAGAACTGGATGACTGAGATGTGATAAAAGTTCAGCATGCCTGGAAAGTCCTGAATCTATAAACCACAAAACAAGCAAAGAACAATAACTATCTCTGATCTGTTGGTTCAACAACACCATCTGTTCTGCCTTTGCAAGGAATCTGTGAGGTGAAATACATTTTGCGTTAAAGCCAGAAGTACAACTAATTTGGATTTTTTGTTCAGATTTCCATAGTATCATTTCTTATTACAAAGTTACAAAAGAACCATCTGAATACATTTCATACTTTATAAAAAGGTGCACCTATTCATCCATGCTTTATATTTGACCGTGTGTGTCTCACCAGGTACTTGGTAAGGTCATTGATGAACTCTCCGTAGTGCAAGCTCTTGTCTTCGTGGAGGTGGTTCTGAAACATGGCTGTGATCTGCTCCGATCCCACCACCGGAGCACACACTCGCATTGAATACTTGCATGCCTGGACACATTTAAAAAAATAAAACTTAAAAAAGCTGTTTTGAAAGTTTGTGTGTGTGTGTGTGTGTGTGTGTGTGTGCGTGCGTGTGTGTGTGTGTGTGTGTGTGTGTGTGTATGAACATTTCCTACTGTACCTTGACCACCTCTGGGTTTGGGTCAACCAGGTGTAACAGCAGGCTGACCAGAACATTGTGGATCTGGTCTTTGAACACTGGCTCTCCTGAGCCAAACTTGGACAGATTCCCCATTAGATGGATGGAAGCACAGCGGATCTCATCATTCTCCTGGATGAGCCAGAAGGAACTGTTAGTGTTGTATGTGTCTGTATGTGTGGGAAACAGCTTCACCTTCTAACAAGGTTGAACAGAGCTACAGAAAACTTGTAACATTAAGTTTAAGAACTCCTGCCGACAGGCACTGATAATATAAAATAAACAATCCTAGATACTTATGACTATTTCGAGACTTATACAATGTACAGCATCATACAACATCTTAAAAAAATATATATACATCAAAACTTACACTTTCCAAGAACGGTTTAATCTTCATGAAGATATAGACCACTAGTAAGTGGACGTTCTTTTTGTCCAGATAGAGGAGAACTTTAGAGAGACCAGACATGGCCTCGAGGGTAATCAGCTTACCTGCAGGAAGACCAGAGACCAGAGATGAACAATAGCCATTTGTACTAATGACAACATCCAGGATGAGACGCTGGACATGTTGTATGACAAACATGATGGATGCGAAGAAGGAAAGTGAAACCCCAGACCACTTGACTGTAAGCTTTAAGTAACACTGCAATCAATCAGGAGAGCCAGACTACAGATTTCTGTGACTTTACTTTTTCCAGCACAGAAAATGACTTGGCAGTCACTTTACCTGGATCGTCTTTCTCCTCCATGCCTGAACTCATGGCTGCCAGCAGCTCTTTGGCATATTTGTTCACCTAGCGGGCAAAGGAGGTCAGAGTAAGAAGGACACAAGGATCCCATAAAAATGATATCTGTCAGAGATCTAACAGCTAGTCTGCATGTGTTAGCGCAGAGGATGTGTTCTGGTGTGCATGTGAGCATCGTACTTTTTCAGGTGATCCCACGGCTATATTGCCGAGCCCCCGCACAGCCAACATGCGGACATTACAACAGGGATCTGATATCCTCTCCATCATGTTGTTCATTAACACATCTATCAACATCAACTCCGTCACCACATGATGGTTTAAGAGCTGAAGAGAAACAAAATATATCAGGTTATTAATTCTCTCTGCCTGCTGGTCAATAAAAGCTGATCGATATTCTTTATCAACTGATGGCATTTTATTTTCATACATAATGTCACTTACATGGGGGTCAGGGATATGAAAAAGTCAATGGTAGTTTAGATATGATGATGGCAACAGGTGGGAGCAGTTACTGTTCATTCCACTTAGCTTAATGAAACACTGGGCTATGACGATGGTGTATTAGGGCCACTGCAGGTAAAATAAAGGAGGCAGAAAAGGAGCCAGAGGAGTTGGGTAATATTCCATGAAAAAACTCTGACATTAAACTGGCATACTTACAAGAAAAAACGTGGATACTCTTTAAGATTAAAGTGGTAAGCATATGGGTAAAACCTCACAAATTTACTGGCAGAAGGTCAGGTGATGTTGTATAAACACTGACAAAGTTAACATGGGGAGGATGTGGTTGTGGATGACTAGGTCAAGCACGGGACTTTTACCCAATACACCAGGGTTCACGTCCCCACTGAGTCAACATCAGTGTATTATTTTTAGACTTGGCTGACTTCTTATTGTCAGTGTTTAGGATGTATAAACCTGCTGAATGCACACTATGGCCATAAACTTTAGCCGAACCCAGTTTTATGTACACAGTGTGCATTCAGCAGCTGTATACATCCTAAAAAGAGAAAAAAAGTAAACCAAGTCTAAAAATATAGACCAATGTTGACTCACATCCCGAGCTGTAACACAAACATGTGAGGCCCACCTCAGCTAACCCCGAGTGGGCCCTTTTCTTGCAACTCAGAGTAAGCAAATTTTAACATCTTCTACAGTGAGGACACTTTGCACAATGGAATTTAATGGACCACTTTAGAAAATTGGACACAGATTATTGTACTGAGTAATTGTTGGAGCTTTGTAATATTACAAGCTATAAAGTGTCGCAACCTCTGTCAAGCTGTCAGAGCTCTCCCTCACCTGACAATGAGGCTGCAGGAGCACAGTGTCTCTCCCTCACTTGACGCTGAAGCTGTGGGGTGCATGGTGGTATCTTTCTCATCTGATGCTAACAGTACTGCAGCGTCTGCCTCATCTGTAATGTAGCCCATTCTAATCACTGTCTTTACAATCAGGTAAGCCTGTTTCATCCTTGTGGACCTCACTGTGACCCTCTGACGTATATGTCAAAGAAAACTTTGGACCAGCAAAGATTTTTTTTGTTGAAATTTGTTTGTATTTTACACCAATGTGTCTCTGGAAATGTATGATATTATGATGTGCATCTGAATTCCTATCAATATGTAAGTTGACAGGTTTGGGATGGTATCCATTTAGACTGTGGGGCCCTGGCCTTGTGGGAACTGTGGAGGTATACTTTACAGGGCAGCTCAAGGGACATGAACCCCGGTGTCCTGAATGAAAGTCCTGTGCTAGACCTGCTCATCCACCACGACTTACCTTACTCCCTAAGTGGACTTTGTTGCTCTTTAAACTACGTCATCTGACTTCCTGGCAAATTTCTTTTCTTTCTTTCTTTTTTTTAAGGCTTTTTGCCTTTAATGGACAAGACAGATTGAAATGGGGTGAGAGAGAGAGAATGGGGGTTGACATGCAGCAAAGGGTTGCAAGCTGGAGTCGAACCTGCAACCGCTGCAGCAAGGCATCACCTCTGTACATGGGGCGCGGCACTATCCACTACACTACCAACGCCCCGGCAGTAGATTTCTAAGTGTTTTCTCAGAATATTACTCCTGTCCTCTGACGTTTGTTTTTCACCTACAATGGCCCAAATATACAGTCATACTGGGCCTCTTTCCAAATGTAGAAAAACTAAAAAATAAACATGATGCAGTATTTCATGACGTATCACCTCAGAGAAGAAAGCAGTGACTGTGATTCTCTGGCATTCATAGATGTTGTTCAAGGAGGGACACAGACACTCCACAATGGTGGGCAACCTTGGACCAGCATGCTTAGCCATTGCCCTAGAGACAAGGTAAACACCCACACACAGCCTTCATATAAAGAATGGATTCATTATTAAAAACACATTCACTAGTTATGTGAAAGAGAAATAAGCAAAAAGACAAGAGAAATTATATTTCAATTCACGTTTTAAGACAGGAAAAGTTCATGTTTCATTTGCTTTTTAATATCAACGCCGAAGATACACCTTCATTAAAGGGTTTTAAATCTTTTTGAACCCCTGATAAATTTACTGAGCATCATCACATTCATACTGATGAGCAGTTTAGCAGAAATGTGTTGCAAATTCACGCTACATGTTCACTGGATGATTCAAGCATTTATTCTAGTGTGAATTTGTAATTGAGATCTCAAACTGAGCCCACCCAGCTTAGTGTGTGTGTAGGTACCTTGCCAGTAGCGTAACTCCAGTAATGTGTGTATTCTGTTCCTTCATTGCGTCCCAGGCCTTATCCTCATCCAGCCTTTTCATCACCTCATCTAACTGAGCCCGCGCTAACAAGATTCGCAGGGCATCAGCTGCTACCCTGAAACACCAAAAACAGTGACACCAAATTGTTAGCCCACAGATACACCTGAAATCAAATGTTCATAAAGACAACTCATCTTGATTTTACTAACTATGAAGACAAAAAGATGCCCACCCTGCTACATGGAGGGAGGCGGTGTGTTTAGTGTTGTTGTCCTTCGGTGCTGAGACCCCAACACTTGATCCGAGTCTGACGGTGAGACAGGAGAAGAGCTGAGGGAACTGACTGACTGCCGGCTCCTGACTCTGGCCATTTAATAGCAGTTCTTTGAGACCACATGTCATCTGGAAATAAAGAAAACACAGGCAAACATGCAGGTCAACATGAGAATCATCCTCGCTCCTTCTCAATAAAACGGTCTACACAGACTGCGTAAAGAAAATGGCTAATGATCGATAGTAAAAGTACCAAATTTAACAATTATATCTTGCCAGAAGACATAAAACTGAAAACCCAAAGACCTTTGTGGGCATTTACTACTTTAAAATCTGCCTAAATATAATCATGTATGAATAACTTAATTAACTTAATAGATGTAATGTATTCAGTGACATGTCTGTGAGTGTTTGTGACTTACAGCCAGTGGCTGATTGGTGGCCACCTTTGTTGTCCCTCCTCTGATGACTGACTCCCTCTGGTCTACGTAGGGCGCCATGATGAGAAGCTTCTCCATCACCATCTCAATGATCTGATTGGCTACAATGGGGTCTGCTCCCAAGGCCATCCACATCTCGCTGGTCCAGCTGGACAGAGAGACAGAAATACCTTATGTTTTGGGGTTTTCCATTAAAAAAGTGACAATCAAAGAATAAGGTGACTGAATTAACTTAGTGAAACATTTTGTGGCCATGCTAAAGTAGAGTCGTTTACATAGATTTTGTATATTTACCTGTCATAAGGAAGTGGTTGGTTAATCAGTGTATTGATAACAGTCTGTAGATGCTGAGAAGCCAGGATTAGTACAGTCTGTCCCACTGCCACTCTCACCTAAACAATGAAGATGTAATTGCACAGTGAGCAGATCATTGTTGCAAAATAAGCCAGAAAATAGAGAATCAGATCTGCATGATTTGTTATTCAAAGCACAAAAAATAACAAAATATCTTAATATCAAAATATATTGAATAATAAAATAAAATAATATGAAATAATAAAATGTTCATGCTGAATATTGCCATACTGATGTCTGTTCATACCTGCTCCTCTGTGATGCTCTGCAAACGCACGTGTAGCACCTCCAGCATCTCTGGGACCTAACATACAAACAAGCACTGTGGTTGGTGTTCCACTACAGCTGTGTGTGCGTCAAATATTTAATGTCTATATAATTATCGACCTCAGCAGATATGACAAAAGGCTGTGTGAGAGTCTGTTTATGTGTGTGTGTGTGTGTGTGTGTGTGTGTGTGTGTGTGTGCTACCAGCTCTTGAAGTCCCCCTCCTCTGTTCTTCAGCAGAGTATTAAGGATGACAGATGAGGCTCTGCAGCAGTTTGCCTGACTGTCAACCAGCCCTTCAAACAACATGAACACCAGCGTCGTCAGCTGCTGCTGAGGCAGACGCTTACTCATCACCTGACACACACAGGGAAGGACACAATTACACAGTTATACTGTACAGATTACCACTATGTCTACTAACTTGACAAAAACATTAAAAAGGCAACACTGACTGTATGATTATATAATAGTGGACACAGGAAAAAAAAAGAAATTAATACATGTATTACAAATTTTAAGACAGCCTTGCTAAGTGGTACAAACTGTACCTTGGTGAGGTCAGAGCAGGCCTTATATAGAACTGAATGGTCAGGGTTTTCTAGTTTGTCTTTTAGGGGTAACAGACCGTCCACAGCTTCATCCTTGTAATCCAGAGAGAAACCTTCACACAAAGAAAGAAAAAGACAAAAATATGACTCAGTGAAAACAGCAGGCTTTACAAAAACTAGTTGTTGTATGTTGACATAAAAAGTCTAGGTTATAGTTTGACTATGAAGGTTGAATGAGAAATAATTATTCTAATTATCATTAAGTGACTGCAAAAAAATAGAATAATATGACAAAGGTAAAATAGGTCATGGCCCTGTGTCTTTGTACCTTCATAGCGTAGCTGTATGTAAAGCAGTGAGTATATACAGTCCACAGCAGCAGTGCGTACAGCAGGGTGAGGGTCAGAGCATCGTGGAGACAGTCGACCCAGCAGAGCTCCAAGGTTGTGGAAAGACACCATGTTCTACACAAAGATGCACAGAAATACAAAGAAAGGAAAGGCACAAAATGGCTGTCACACAAAATGTTTAATATTTAATTTTAACATCAAGTGAAGACAAAATATTCTAATACTTTGGATCATTGATTATGTTTAAATAAGAATTATACACCCATGGTTATCACAGCTACCATCTATGGTGTGTTCAGGATGGTTATGTTAGAAATTCAAAACAAGACAAACAACCAGAAGTGTGTGTGTGTGTGTGTGTGTGTACCTTGACAGTCAGGTTATCCAGGTAGTAAGCCAGTATGTGAGCAGTAGCTGTGACAGCTCTCTCTCTCTCGTGGTCCTGTGCAGAGCTCAACCATGATTCAATGTGCTGCGCAGGATAATAAAACACGTCATGTCAGATGACACAGTGCCGCAGTATGATACAGCTGGGAAAGTTACTTATTGATGTGTAGCAGCTCACTGAGGCCAATTATTCTTTTTAATTAGACAGCTGAACAAGTCATGGGGATACAGGAGAGACACACAGGAGAAAGTGGAGGGATTCAGCAATAGCTAGCAGGACTACTTATGTATCCCCAGACACAGCAAAAAAACTTACATTACTTGTTTAGTTATGATATCAACTCTGTTAGTACTAATGTTCGAAATAACTATTTTTAAAATGGCCTGAAAAATGCTAAATAAAGCTATCACCTGAAGTGGGAAGTGTTTTAGTGTTAAGGATTTTCTCTTCTTCAGCAATGTTCAGCAATGTGATGGCAACAGCTACCACTGCTTGCAGCCACAGTATTAACTACTCAGTTTGCAATAATAGAAATAGTACTAACACTCAGTACTATGACAAGAAGAGCTGATTAGTGCAACACCATGCTTCACCTTGAAGACACTCTGCAGACCATCAGGTGTGGGATCCTTGGCCAGTACACTTTTCAGCAGCTCCTGCAGTGCAGTCAGCGTGTCTTTGTACAATGCCTGTATATATTTAGTTTGACAACATGAAAGAAGAGACAAGAGAAGAAAAACACAAAATTATTTTATGAAATGTACATGTTTCAAACGTTCTTGCATGCCTCTACACAAGAAGAAATGTTAAAACAGTGGAAGCAGCTCATAGTGATCACAACCGTGCAGATCATACCGATTACTATAAGTAGCTGATTATTATAACAGATTTTTTTTCTTTATTCCTAATGCAGTTTACTGTGTTTCAAAACACAGTACAGCAATTTCCTTATGGGGGCACTGTGTGACCGAGCATTAGGTGCTGTTCCTGTGCACATTCCTTTTTCTGTCTCCATGACTAGCAGCCAAAAGCTTTGAGGAGACTACATTTTTCAGTGACTGACTTTCTTTTTCCTATGATTTCAATGTGCACGCAGCAGCCTCAGGTAGCCAGCTGAAAGCAGACTGGTTAACTTGAGGCAAAGTACTATATAGGAGTGATTCTGTCCCAAGCTTTTTGATCCATGTAAGCGACTGATCACTGTAACTATGACCATTACAAGTGGTTTCCACTGTAGTTGTGAGCATTAAAATTTGTGTTGGCATAATTCAATTATATATAGCAGATTTGTGAGGTATAATGTGTGCATGCACATGTTGCCCTACTTTACTTTACCTTTCTCTGTTTGGGGTCCAGTATGTCCTCTTCTTTGGTTTTCTCTGGAGTGTGTGTCTCAGTTGGCAGGGAGAACACACTGTTCACACACACCTTCAGCAGGTCAAAGCTCTCGTTTTCACTCAGCGCAGGGTCCAGAGGCCTGAAACACTAAAGGTCAAGGATAACACACTGGACAGATGGACAAATGACAGAACCCCTAGTGCAAGAATGCAGGGACACCTCAGATTTTTGTGAATGTGTGTGATAAGCATCTGTCATTATAGCTGAAGGATACATTAGGTTGGCACAGGTGGTCATCACAAGATGGCGTACTGGAGTCCTCAAAGAATCAGCTGGCTCTGCCTTGATAAAATCCTGACCAGTGCAGATACGACAGAAGAGAGAGAGATCAGAAAAAATGTTGCCACATCAGCAATTAAACATTTACGACTTGTTTGTGATGACTGATTACTGACCAGCATAACAGTAATGAGCTCCTGTTTACGTGAGAAGATGTAGCCTTGTTTCTTCACACACTCACTGATGGCTTTGGCTATGAGCCCAACACTCTGGACCAAACTGAGTTTCATAGTCAGGTCCTGAAATAAAAAAACACAAATACATACACACAACACGGAAAGTATGAAATAACAAACACAGATTAAAAGATTCAAGTCAAGAGGAAAAGTAGGCTAAATATGAAGAAAATTGGATAATAGCTTTTTCCTAATTGTCAGGAATGCAAACAACAAGGCCAACCGCAGCCTCTTTCAGTGGATGCAACCCTACAACTGTCAGTGGAGCAAACACAATCCAAAGTCATTCCAGCAATACAAAAATGAAGCAATCAATCCACTCAATCAAATCAATCCAATAGTGATATTGTAGATTGATCCTCCATGCCTATGGATGGAGAGAAGTTTGAAATCAGAGTTGTGCGATTAGAGATTAGATATCAGAGATTGGTTGAACAGCAAACCACCCGCAGACTCTGGTCTGAGAGGTGACAGAACACACACCAAGAGCTGTTAGGATTTAGCAAGAAATAATCAAAGCCCTTTTACAGAGAGAGTAAGTCATTGGTGAGCATTTAAAAGACAATCCACTGTTAAGAAATGAAGGAAAGAAAGAAAAATGAGATGCCCTCATGTGTAGATCAAAGGGAGATGGATCTAAAAGGGAAGGTACGGTAGCTTAATGTAGATGCAGTTTGTGGTGTTGTGCAGTGGTTTTGCCAAACTATGCACATCACATTAGTCGTGCTAACAGCTTACAACTGCATAAATAATGCAGCACCATTGTAAAAGCTTTAAAAAAAGAGCCAAATATAGCAAATGTTAAATGCATATTTAACACGAACCTTTCCCTTTAAACTCATTAAACAGACATAAGTAATGTAATTGGCATTATGTTAGCAATGTTGGTCATTTTAAAAATAGTTTGCATCACATTTGGTTCAGTAATGGCCAGAGGAAACACTGAGGGGTGAACTGACAAAAGGATTGCTCAGCTTTTGCGGCCGCTAAACTGCCACAAATAAGAAAAAAGAAACAATTAAGCCTCATTGCCAAAACAGTCCAATTCACAAAGATCAGCACTAACAGTGGCATGCAGTTACAGTACTTTACAAATGGATATTTGCAATCAGATGCAAAAAAAAGACAAATTACACTCAGCTGCATAACTTATGGGTGTGTCTGCGCTGCAACATAATTAGTGCCCTATCTATTGTGAATCAGATGTTGAGATGGGGCGGATAGAAATTCATGGTGCTATCAGTGGTGGCAATCCATTTTTTGTTAATTCGCCCCTGCAGGCTTTGTGAAATCCCAGCTGCTTTCAAAACTCATAGTGCTTCAGATGCAAGGTATCATCATCTGGTAACCATGTGATGGATTTTTCATTAGTGCAACAGAATAATAATCCACCCCACATCCAGCTGAAAGTATCAAACACTCCCTGTGGGCACTAAAAGTGACTTAAAAAAATGTTTTAATACTTTTCATGTGTGAAATTTGGTGATAATTGAGTTAGGGGCTACTGTGAGAGGCTCAATTCAAGGTGACCATAGCCACTGTTCTCAATCAATGTGGAAATTATAAACAGCCACCTTTCAAGCCTATACGGGGGAGCATTTGATACTCGACTGTTTTATGGTGTATCAAGTGCTACATTTCACCTTAGTAGAGCATTTTGACTTATCTGAACGAGCCAGGTTACAGTCCACCTGCAACATTAGATTTGGTTTGTTTTTTACTCAGTATTGTTCAAAAAAGAAAATTAAAGTCCTCAAACTAAACTGCATGTGCTCCACCACCATGGCAAATTACAGAAACAGACATTAAAATCTAATGCTCTACCAGTGTGAAATACAACTAAGATACAGCACTAAAAAAGCTCATAGAAAAAGTAGTTGCTGCCTTGTATCAAGCTTTGTTTTCTTGGCCTTGAGACTGTCAGTAAAGATTTTAGTGATGATATCACCACAAGTGTGCAGAGTAGTGAGAAAGAGTAAGAAGGTAGAGCAGGATAAAATAAAAATAGGATGAAGAGTTAATAAGTAAGTAAAAAAAGGAAATTAATAGAGACAGTGCCCGTACTCCTGTGACAATACCTTTGTCTCTACTTTAATCCCCAGAACCTGCATGAAATAGAGGTAATAAAGTCATGAGAGCATACAAATACAGCTGTCCTACCTGTAGGAAGTTAATGGGTCTTATTTTTATTCAAGCACTGTCTGGTGCATTTGGTGATGGTGATTTCTTTGGTTAAACAAAAAAGATCAAACTCTTTTTTTCAAAATTATTTTTTGGCTTTTTGCCTTTATTAGATTGGATAGGATAGGCTCAGTGTGATGGGGGGAAAGAGAGACACCTGCTCTATCCGCTAAGCCAACAGGAGCCCCGAAAAAAGGATCTTACTCTTTAACAAAAATGTCAACCTCTGTAGGAATCCTTTCCATTATGTTGTCAGACACTAATCTGAGACTGTCTATGGCAAAAGCAAGCACTTTTTGCAGACAAAAATTGACAGGTCCGGGTTGAAAAATACAGAACTTATATTTTAATTAAAATAATGTATTTATATTTTAAGCAGTATTCTGTTATTGTTACTTTCTATTTGCTATTGTTGAAAAAATTACCAAAGTGGCACCAGGAAGATGTTACACCAAAATCAGATGTGGGACATCTTTTCTCAGTACAAAGTCAAAGACCTCACTTGACTGAATCTCCCACCTGTTTGTGACTCTCTTTCCACCTGTGTACCGTATGCTGGTCATGCACTGCCACAAAAACAAGGCCCTATCTGTTTACTGAGATACTGACTCAGATACGAAAGACAAATCCCAAGAGGTGTGATGCAACATGTTATTCACCATTTACTGCTGATGACTGTTACACACATACAACGTCAATGGGTCAGTGCTCTCTTAAATTTAGTCCTGCTTTAAGTGACCAACCTAACAGAGAGTCCATTTAATTACAATAATGTAAAAATGCACTTGAGGCAAAAAAAAGTAAACCGACATTATTGAAAAGTCTTGAAATTTGCTGCCTAATACCAAATATAGATGGCAGCTTTAGTCGGCTGAAATCATAATATTCACATAATCTGTGTGAGCATCCCATTTTTAATCACAAATCAATGTTAAATAAATATTTACATTACCTTGGTATTGAAGTGTTTACTGATGCAGCGCAGGATGTCTTGATCAATGCGGGTCAGAATCTTTTCTGGAGGTGCGTTCAGAGCCACATGACCATAACACAAGATTAATGTGCTTTTCACCTTCTCTACCTCAACATCATTACGTTCCTGAAAACAGGAAAGGAGGGAGAGATGAAGACAGACAACAGATGCTTTATCACAGCAAAAGTAATACAACCTGATTTTCATTTGTTAAAGTTAATCAAAAAGGTTCCAGTACTTTGAGAAGATTGAAGATGCTTGGTGACTTCTTGAAGGCGTCTGACTTGCCGAACTCTTCCAGCTTGGCCAGAGTTCCCTCCAAGTGGCTGTTGGCACACAGGCCAACACCCATTGCAATTCCCTGACAGATACAGATGACACAGACACAGACCATCATCAGTTAGAGCTTTAATCTGTTCTGGTGTGAAACACAATACCAAATACTGAGAGATGTTTTCTGATTTTTTTCAAAACCACAACATTAGACAAATCATCATCTGCAGGTACCTCTCTTTCAACGGCATCATTGTGTCGTGCTGCAAGGAGGATTTCCTGCAGCTGTTTTTTAACCACCTCCTTATTGAAACACTGCTGAAGAGTCACTCCAATACATCGATACAGGAAACTCTAGAGAGATGTAAACATGCTGCGTAAATTATTTGCATATACACTATGTACTTAACTGTAGTTAGTACTGTTTCCCATCTACACTGCGTTCCTATCAGTGGTTCTCATACTACAGGTTGGGGCCCCTCACTAGGTTGCAACATCATGTTATAATGTCTACACATAGCATAAATGTCACACTATCCCAAATTGCAACCATTTAATTTTGCAGAACATTTGTTAAAATTTTTAACTTACTACTTTACACTTCACCCTTGATGAGGGTGGCATGACTCTGTTTAAGGAGGTCATGAGCCCCAAAGGATGAACCACAGTTCAACACTGTCAGCTTTTTGAGTTCAATTATCACCAACATGAAGCACTAAATTAGGCTTACTGTGGGGCCCTAGTACCTTGACACACCACAAAACTATGTCTATTTGTTTAATTTCACTGGACAAATGTTGGTAACTATATCAAAGCAATAGCTTTCAATCAGCTCACCTTCTCCTCTAAGGCGTTGTTATACGTGGAGAGGTATCTTGTTGCTTCGACTGCCAAGTGACTCACCCACTTGTCATCATCAATAGTAGCCAGGGTTTTGGACAAGAGCTGAAGACAAAAAATTTAAATGACATTTCATTAAATGAAGTTAGATTTAAATATCTTCATATCAATACAGACTTAACATTTACACCATTAGTACAAAATAAATGGTAATTATCACTCTAACATGGGCTTAAGAAACAATTCTTCTATTATCACCACATTTTGGTTTTATTCAAACATAAAACACCGACACATTATAATGTGAATGAAAAAATATTCCCATAGATACAGTAGATAAGCACACCTTTAGCAACTTTTCCTCCCAGTGCTTCTCATCCAGGCTCTCTGCCGTTGACTCTGGAAACAACAACACACAGTCAGACCACTAAAGAGAAAAAAACTTTTGTAGGTGGTGAATGAAAAGGAAAATGGTCCCAAGACACCCTCCCCCGTACAAATGTCTGCTGTAAACCATGTGGCGCAGACATAAATGTCTACTGCAGTGTCACTATGAGAAAAAAAGACTAGATTATTTTATTTTTATATTATATTACTAGATTAGAAGATTATTTCCTTATATACCCTCTAACACTGAGAGCAGAGGAGGTATCTCTTTCTCCCAGAGTATCTCTGTATTGGGGTGGATGTTGACACTGAGGGTTTGAAGGAGAGAGAGGGACGGAGCTCCATGACCTCTGTTACTGAATGGGAACGCTGCATTCACCTGGAAAACACAGAAGCAACCCAGGACATAAACACATGCAGACATACAGATACCTGTCAGAGACGTTTTAAATTACAAAGTACCTTTTACTGATTTAAGCAAGTAAAGTGACCACTTGAGTAGGATTACTGTGTTACTCCTTAGATCCCTGCTTCATGTTGAATACTGTAGAGTAAGAGCAGCTCTAGAAATTAATACAATGATAATCACAGATTGTGACTGAAGCATTAAAGAGAAAATCAGGCTTGACAGTTTACAAGGATTATTTGGCATGACAAACATTTTGTCTAAACCAGAGGCTGCAATTCATTAATTATACTTCATTACAATCAGTTCCTCAACCCAGTAATTAAACTGGATGTTTCTAAGCTTTTTGTTTTATACTGTAGACACAAAAAAAGTAGTTTATCCAACCTATTTGCACAGTTGTCTGTGTGTAGCTTTGGCTCCACATAAAGTCACCAGTTTGTATATGTGTTATTGAGTTGTTTTACTTACCAGCAGTCTGACCATTAGCGTTTGAGGAGAGGGAAGATTCACTGGAGGAGAGAGGTAAGACACATTTAGCTTGACATAGATCACACAGAACAAGAGGAATAGTAACTTTCAAATTAGAGCTGGAACAATTAGTCAGTCTGCAGAAAAATAATTGTCAACTATTTTGATAATAATTAACTGTTAAAAGTAATTTTTCCTGCTGGTCTCTGTTTTGTATCAAATCAAACTGGATACCTTTGGGTTACTGACTGACAAACAAGACATTTAAAGACATCACCTTGGACTTTGGACATTTTTCACTGTTATCGGGTGTTTTATAAACCAAACGATTAATCTAGAAAATAATCTACAATAAATCAATAATAAAAACAACCATTAACTGCAGCCCTGTTTCACATTGCAATGTGCTCTTTATAGCTGATTTATATCTAACATGGAACACACACACAGCAGATGACCTTCACAGAGATGCACCTGGTCAGTAAATGTTCCTCTTACCTTCCTGTGTAAAGTCTATGTTGAAGCTGGGCTCCTGGCTACTTTTCTTCTTGTTGCCCAGCACTATCAGACTCTTACACAGAGGAGTGGTAGCGTTGCTGTATTGTGAAGGGGTCAGATAGTACAGCAGCTTTGGCCATAGCACCTACAAACAAGAAATTACATGTTATGCGTCTGAGCATTGTTCACCTAAAACACCCAGTGGACAACAACTGCTGTTAACTGACACATACCTGATCTCAACTAAATCATTATAAAACTCAAACTTCAGAACATCCAACTGCAGTAAAACAAACATCTGCAACGATGTCAGCAGTTGCATGATTTTGGGATGACAAATGACTCAGTCATGAACAGATCAGACAGATGAATAGACATGTAGATAGTCTCTACGTACATCAGCTAGTCGTCCAACAGTGGTAGTCAGGAGATGAAGAGTGTTGTCACACATCGTCCTCAGTGCCTCATTAGTCACCTCCTCTGGATCTATGGGCTTATGGCCTCGCTGGAGACACACAAACACATTCATATACAGATAAATGTTTTATATTCCATCCCATTAATCAATCAATCAATAGATGTCCTCCTGTGATGCAGAAGTTTTGACAACTAGTCAGTTTATTTGCAAGCCTTGTCTAGGACTTCTTTCAAAGGCTTTAGCTTCAGATGTGAAACACTTATGCATTATCTGTTGCACTGGTAACATATTAGTTGGTGTGTATTTTCCATATTGTCCACTGACCTTATGTATGTGTTTGTTTGCTTAATTATTTTCTTCAATTTTTTGTCATTTATTAGCTTTGGTAAACATTAGATGGAGATTATTGAAATTACTTGAGCAGTAATGTTTAAGTACCACTCAAGCTTCTTTCATCACACGAGGCACATTATGCAAGATTATACATAAATGAATAAAATGGTTATGAGACACAACTTCCACACAAATCCACTTATCAAATATTTAACACAAAAGAAGTTGTACCCGATATGTGTCAGGTAAGGCACAGTGTTGAACGATGAATCGAACCAGTAACTCCCCTCCATCTAACTCCAGGTAGCCGTGATGAGCCATCGCACTGATCACCTGGACAACACGCTTCTTGACCTGGGACAGAGAGAGAGCCAGACAGAGTGTGAGACATAACAACATCATGATTATCTGAAAAAAAACCCACTTAACTAAACTGTTAATAAAAATGTTAAAGAGATTGTGATTGAGCAGAATAGTCACATAGAGACTCTGTGTGTGTCTGCATGTGTGTTACCTTGTTGCTGTGGTCAGCCATGGGTTGTCTGATGCTGGCCAAAATAAGCAGCTTCTTGCTGTCCATTGTGGAAGCTGCAAGACACACAACAACACAAATAACTAGACAAGAAAAGATTAACAGATACATAAAGTAGGATTTTGTATTCTGCATGACTTTGACATAATTCAGGGCATGCTGAATGACTTATGCCAAATCAATCACGCTGAATGACTTATGCCAAATCAATCACTGGTGGCTGTGCTTTAACAGATAAGTGTGTATGGAATGAGCTGGGGTCACTTGGTGTATTTTCTCACTGCTGGAGTTGATGAGGTGCCGAAGGACAGCCAGGGAGCCCATCCTGCTTCGCTCATTACTGTTCTCCAACTTCTGAAGAACAAACATGACCATCCGGTCTGGAAAGGAGTTCGCTGCAGGGAAAGGAGTGAAAAGGAGGTCGAAAAAGGCAATAAAATATGTAAACTATCAGATAAACAAAAACAAGAGCAAAACACAGGAAAGAGAAGGGCAGAGAAGTAGACTGCCTGTCACAGTTAATATGATTATGTCGTGGTGGACAGAGTCTAGCGTACTAATGGATGATCGTATTACTTTTCTTGTGACTCCATAGATCTAGAACACATAGAAAGGTCTGGAGCTGTTGGACAACATTCAGCTATCACCCCTTAACCTGGTCACCACAAACTTTGTCACACAACTCTCTTCAAAATTATCAGAATTTAATGCAGTGGCAACAACGAGCAAATCTGACACACAGATACACACACAAACAGCTGAAGAGCTTCAGTACCTAGTAAGCTGAAGCAGCGCAGGACCTCGTTGTGGTTCTTGACAGTAGGAGGGTTACTGTAATCAATAGGTGCAGACACCTGGAGGAGAGAAAGGAAATGTTAAACTGATCTCTGTGACTGCCACGTGTCAGCTTGTGAACCCTTACACATAATTATACGCTATGATATGAGATCTGTTAAGCACCACACTTTTCAAAGTCACCTCTTCAAATTCTAACAACTTCTGCCAGATTCAGATGTGTACATGCACAGTTTAGTATTTACAAACAGTTGTAAAACTTTGTGTCTGATTGCAATAGAAACAATAACTGTAGCTGTTGTAACAGGCACTGCCCCTGTAACAGTCTGGTGAAATACTCTCTGTCCCCATCTAACAACCCTTATCATAAACACATTAACACTGGCAGAGTCATTGTGGTAAAATGTCGAAATAGTCAAGACACAGAGCCAAGCGTCAGCCGAGTCATGAGATTATGAAAACATCTGACAACAGTGACTCTCATCAAACAGTCATTTGACACAAGTAAATGAAAGCAGCATATAGTGGATACAGGATGCAAAAGAAGAACTCCAGTATGCCCATAATTTAGCCACAGATTTGTGCTTTCAATGTGGTGAGTCATGTCACGAAGCAGGAAGACTGAGACACAAAAAGTGCCTTACAGTTGGTTTGACAGAGAGCCAGTCTTGTGATAGAAAGTGCTGCACAGACGGCAACTGACTGCTGTCAGACCAGACGGACCCAGGTAAAGCTGATATAATGCAGAAGTGTTTGTTGAGTCTTCTATTGCGGTTTGCTCAAGGTGTGTTACTGGGCGCTCCCACAAGTGTTGCCTGCGTTGCTTGCGTTCAATGTGTTGACTATGAAAGGAAGTGCATTGCTCGCGTCGCTCGCGACGCATGCGTCGACTATGAAACGGCCCTGAGAGTACACTGCTCAAATTTTCTGTTTCACTCAGAAATTTATCACAACAGAAGCTAAAGACGCATATTAACTAATGCTGCACACTGCATTCAGAATACCTGTGTAAGAGTGCTTAAAAGTCTGGTCAACACTACCTGGTCTGGATGTACAGTGGTGGAAAAAAGTTTTCGGACACCCCATGCATTTGTGAAATATTGCATTAAGAATCACTCTTAGGTCTTCAAATGCAATTTCTTTTAGTACAATCACAGCCAAAATACTAAATAAATCCTAAAAAAGCCATTAAAACTTAAAATTGATTGGTTCCATAAAAATACATAAGAAATTTTGAGTATTGGGTCATTTTGGTACCAGTGATGAAGGTCGTTCTTTTTATTAAAAGACACAATTTTTGTTGCCAAGCTTCGTGTCTACATAAAGCCAGCACATTTGAAAGTTCTTCAGACACAAAAATGGCTAAAACAAGGAACCTAACGCAGGAAACACGCCTGAAGATAAAGATTCTCAGCCAGGAAGGGTACAGCTGC